AGGTGACCTAACTACAGAGTTTCCTAATTCATAAAAGGAAATCAGTAGTTTCCCATCTTCTCTCCTTTCCTTCATCTGACTAGTGGCACAATCTGTGGGGTTTCACAATTTGTTATAAGAATTATTATAACGTGTGAAAATCAGTTGCATTCAAATGCATGGAAAACTAGGTACATTATTAAAACTATTCTTCCGGAGATTTTAACTTGAAAAACACACACACAGATTAACAAAGATTGACCCAGTTATTAAAATTTTGTGGCTTTTAATGCCAATTTATTAAGTTACATCTATTAAATACATCAACACATACATTTCATTCACAGAGATTGGAATTGACACAGTAGTGTCTGAAGACATGCGTTGCGTACCAGTGAAGTACGTATTCAACGACATACAATATGCAGTTTACTTTGAGAGTGTGACGTTTTAACATAAAACATAAAATCAATGAAAGCACATGGGGCTTATCACTAAAACCACACAAACATGTACATTTGTTTAATTTCTACACCCCTAAAACAAAAGAGGGGAAAGTTACACATTTGAATGACTTTAAGAATAAAATCATTTGATTAAGTTCAGCTACTTTATTTACTCGAAACTGTATGTCTCCTTCCTCCTGAATATATGCACTGTGAGATGGGACTTGCCTGTTGTGTTCCCTCTTGTCTTGTCTCTCTAGCCTGTTTGTAAGTGCTACTATGTGACTAATATTAAAAAAAAAAAAAAAAAAAAAAAAAAAGAAAGAAAGAAAAAAGAATTGATTCATGGATGAAATGGGAAGTCTACTGGGCTTGTTGTCAGGTGATATGGATTCTAGTCTTAACACTGTTGTTAGCTACTGTCTGGCATTGGGCTATTTGTAGCATTTTTCTGAGCCTGAAGACATCCTTAAAATGATGTAACTTGGAGCAGATAAACTGTACTTTTTGCATCAGTTCTAAAACTCCATGACAATCTCTATTGGCCAAGATCTCAGAGTTACTTTGTGTTGGATACTCTCTGAACGAGTGGCAAATGGCAGCAACTTCCAGGCTGGAAGCCACTGAACTCCACAAGGCCTCCCAGGTTCTTAATGATCAAATAGAATACACATAAGTTAATTAAACAATGACATAGTCATAGATTTTGGAAAAATTACCAGATATCATTTGGTTCAATCCCTCTTCCTCTCTCAATGAAGAAATGGCTTCTATAAAACCCTTAAGCTAAGCTCTTTGCTTGGAATATCTCTAGGGATAGAAGTCACTATCTGGGGATAGTCTGGTTTTAGATATAAAACTTTTTTGGCTATTAAGCCATAAATTGAGACCCTGAACTGCAACTCAGTAGCCTTCCTCCAGAGACAGGTGAAGAAACTCTCCTTTTTCCTTCTACATCATTCCATTATCTCCTTCCAATTTGATAAGAGCAGATGATAACTGGATGGGTCTAGTCTTCTTATTCAAATTCATGAAGATAGCATTCTAGCTCTAGATATGCCATTAACTCATTGTGTGGCCTGACAAGTAACTTCTGTCTTGGCTGGTATGGTCTTTTCTTCTTAAAGTGGGGTGATATAAGGGGTTGGGACGAACATGTCTCAGAGCTTGGGAAATTGTAACTATGGTTGTCGGAGTGGGGCAGGGCACAGATGTGACTGCTCTACCCTATACTCTGTCACCACTGGAACAGAAGGACTCAGGGGTTAACAGTCCACTGCCTTCTCCTCAGGCCCAGCTGCCAATGTGATGTAATAGCTGTTAATATCCAGGCTAGTGATGCACACTTAAAAAAAACATTCTGCTAAAAATGGAAAAACACTTCCAGGACCCTGGGCCCTAAGAGAACAAAAAATCTTAGGGAAAGAGGGTTCTGCATGTGTTTTGCAAGGTGTGGAGTATAAACCACTGTGTCCTGAAAAATTAATTCCCAGTGTCACAATCATGGAAACATGACTGGGAAAGGACCTGGGAAATACCTTGCAAGGGAACTTTGGCAGCAGGCATGCCTTGTGCACAGGGAGCTGGTTGAACTTTTTTAACCCAGAGGAATTATTGACAAGCACAGAGGTGGAATTTCCTCTGGGGTGACATAGCTTAGGTTGAAATGGAGCCAAGGGCTTTGGCATGCCTGTTACTGAACTGGACCAGACACATTTCAGGATGTGAAAAGAGCATCTTTTCACATTCTACTGCAGTCTAGTTAAAAGAGTCAGGAATTTTAGTACCTTAAACAATTCTGTTCTCTCACATAGATCTAAACCACGCTAGAGTCCAAATGCTGGTGACCCCATGCATTTTGATCATGACTCCTGAATTTGCTGAGGGACACCACACCTCTGGGTCATCCATAAAGTTCTAGTATTTTCAAGAATGTTGCTGGACAAACTTCATAATAATCTCTCTCCACATTTGGCTTGATAATGGATGCCACTATAGAAAACATTAACTTTGACTTCTCCCCTTTTACTTTTGGAAATCTGTCCTTGGGTAGCTGTTTAAGAAATCACTTAGAGTATACAGAAATCATGTTGTTAATGATCATCCTTCACCAAATGGCACCCATTTTCATAATGAGAAAATATCCATGTGCCTAAAGTTAGCTAATTAATTAGCTAATACAACCAAAATAAATAAACAGACCTACAGACAATGGAAGTACTAAGCAGTTAGAATGAACATATCGGAGACTAAAATAATTTATCTTTGTGTCTCCAGGACGAGTGGGTTCTCAATAAATGTTTGTGGAATTGATTTGATGTTAGCATTTTGCGAGACACTGGACCAGCAAAGCACTTTCTCCCTAAATTAATCATTTTCTGAAGCACCTTCAGAACATTCTGAACCTTCAAATGCTCTCCCTATACTCCATTTAGGGGACTATCACATGGTCTTTCAAAGCATCTCCCACTTGATTTTAAAAACCAGAGCACAGATATTTGCTATGGAAATAATGCCTAGGACTCGAATTCTACTAGAAGTGTTTGGCTGGGCCTTTCTGACCAGTAAAAGCTATATCATAGGACATTTAATAAATTCAGCCATGAAAACTTGAGCATAGTACATTCTTCAATAAATGAGTTTAAGATGGGGGCAAAATAAATATGTGGTAGGATCTTTCCAAAGTTTCAAGTCTTTTAGGATAGTAGGAAATTCCGATTTCTTGAATAAACTTCCAAATTCACCAGCTACCCAGTGGAACAGTGGGAAGGTTTGAAGACCCTGGGCACAGGGGTCCTTCTAGCAGAGAAGAGGAGTAGGCCACCATAGCCACCTCCATGCAAAGTCTTGCCCATTCCCCAGGTTGCTTGGTACTCTCATGCAGATGCAGACAGAGCATTTTATTTTCTTAATGAAATGTTAGTTCTGATCGTGAAGCCAGTTAAGAGTCATTGATGAAACATTCTTGATCCACCCATAAATGTTGTACCAGGAGTCAGTTGAGAAAACATTCACTAATCAAGTTGGCTTTATAGTTACTGAGAAGCCTCTCCGTTCTGCTTTAAGAAAAGGGTAATTCCTCCATCTGAGATGCCCTTTCTCCGAGGCCATCTGTTGTCTGCCCACCTTCTTTCAGAACTCACTTCCTTCATGAAGACGCTTCTGAACCAGGTGGAGGTGACCACACCCTTGTCCATGCTCTCACTGAGCCCTGTACTCACTGTTTTGAGAAGCTGAAGGCTTTGTAGCCTTAAGCTCCCATTGGAGAAACGGAATTTTTGTACAATTATAACTCAACAAACATTAGTCAAGCACTGCTGCACCAATCATTGTGCTCAGGAGCTCCACCACACCCTTCTGCCCTCTGTAGTCTCCTGGCAACAAGGGGGAGAGTTGATTTTGGTTCCAGATTTGCTTCCAGACCCATTGTGAAGTCTCCTCTGTAGGGAGCATTTATAATAGAGTCTGAAGTACCATGACACACTGCCATGCTCTCCTACTTCACAGAATGCTCAAAGTTAACAAGTTTCATCCCATGGACTAATTTGATCCTGGGAAGCAAGTTGGTGGATTCTTGTTTCACAGACAAACCAACAGCCCAAGAAAGCAGAAATGCCCCTCCCACCTTTGGCATATTAATGCAGGAAAATGATATAGGGCAGAGGATATGAACCCCATTGATGAGCAGGAGGGACCTCCTAAATGCCCAGCCTTTCCTCTAGGGAAGAAGTCTTAGCTGAGCTGATTAGCTAGTCCCATATTTAAATCCTTTAGATATTTTAAGAAAAAATATCCATAAAACACTCTGCATATAAAGTTGTGAATCAAAATTCAAAGCAGATCTAGGTTAACTTCTCCAGATTTGGATATTTACCCCCTCTCCTGGTCCCCAAGAGAGTAAGTCCATTGTCCCTTGGCATCAATCAAGCTTGTTGTACAGCAGTCTAATTAGTTAGGAAGCTGTCTTCAAGTTTCTTTAGCTACCTAATCAGCGGGACAGCTTACATGGTCAGAAACACTCCAGAAATTTTGCACAACTCTGTCAAATGATATATTTTTCAGGACTTGGAGTTAGTCCTTGGATCATGTTGAGACACATTTGACCAGGAGCCATCTAGTGACATTCATATACATTTTTAGTAGAGTTTAACTTGTTCATAGTGTCTTCTGGGTAAAGATAATGCCCAGAACATAATAGATGCTCAAGAAAACTGTGGTGAATAAATGCTATTGTTGTATTTTTTATATGCACATGGAACTCATACTTGCTTATTTTGATGCCTGTGTACAAAATAATGGGAAAAGTAGTTAACTCTCATTTGCCATAGGTAGCATCATGAAAACCAATTTCTTTTTTTGAGAACATTCGTGAAAAAAATATGAAAAATACCAGCTCCTTCCTTCCTTCCTTCCTTCCTTCCTTCCTTCCTTCCTTCCTTCCTTCCTTCCTTCCTTCCTCTTCCTTCTCTTCTCTTCTCTTCTCTTCTCTTCTCTTCTCTTCTCTTCTCTTCTCTTCTCTTCTCTTCTCTTCTCTTCTCTTCTCTTCTCTTCTCTTTTCTCCCCCCCTCTCTCTGTATTTGGGGAAATTGATTAAGGATTTCTCCTCTGAAAGGTTTACACTGTTTTCTAGGGCTTTGAATTTTATTCAAGGCTCCTAAACTGAAGTGAATGCTTCATATTCAAACTGAACCCATTGGTGACAGCTGTGTTGTAGGAAGGTGTAGAGATGTTCTGAGTAAATCATCCATTCATTTGGTAATGAGTGTTCTAATGTTCAGAAATTCATCAATCTTCCAGGCAAGCATGGTAATATGTCTGCTTTTCTCTCTCTTTTTTCCAATTTGTATTCTCATCAGTAAGGCATATAAAGTGTGGGCTTTTGGGCCCTACATTTCATAGCTAAATCATTGTCTCTGGAAAGCTTCAAGAAAGCCCCTGGTTATAATCACATACAAATGATGAAAATTGGGAATTAGGAGGAGAGGACCTTTACACAGTGACATCTGCCTTGCCCCTACAGCAAGAAGGCTCCAAAGAAAGTTTTATCTTCTTTTGTGTAGTCCACCAAAGAGATGTTATTGACGTTCACCATCAGCTTGTCCCCCTCTTGTAAGGAGAACATGGCTCCTAGATAAATGGGTTGGTACCAGTTGCTACCTATTTCACACACTGTCTTGGTTCCCATTAGGAGCTGAGTGGGTTTGGGGTAGTTCTCCGTTACCTTGGTGATGACCACAATGATGATGTCTGGCTTGTTCGCGCGGCTCCCTTTGCTGATTTCACTACATTTGGATGTAATACTTCGGAATGTGATCTGGGAGTAAACAAAGTAGTCTCCAGACTCTGGGATCACCAGAAATTTATTGGTGTAGTTCATCCGGTTCTTGGTGAAGGCCAAGCCAAGTTCATGTTCCCAATCCAGAGCTGGGAACTGACTATTCAAGGACTGTGTGGGCGTTTGTCTCACAACTGCAGAAACAAGAGAGAGGTTTAATTTGCTTGTGTTGGAACTCATGGACTTTGCAAAATATGTCTCGTTTTTAAATTTATTTTTATTGACAGTATTACAGATGTCCCTCATTTCCCCCCTCTGTCCCCCTCCACCTGGCCTCTGCCCTGCCCCAGGCTTTCACTGCACTATTGTCTGAGTCCATGGACGATGCATGTATGTATATAAGTTTTTTGGTTAATCTCTTTCCATCACTATTCCCACCCTCCCACTTCACCCCCTTCACCTGTCACCTGCCCTCTGATATCTGTCAGTCTGTTCTTTGTCACCCTCTTTTAATACTGCAGTCCCAAAACACATGAAACAGATAGTAATGAATAAGAAACATACAGGAGGGCAAATATTGGAACCAGAAATATCCAGGATATTTTGGAAATGCCTCTCTGATATCGATAGAGCCAAACTATTATATAAGCCAGTGTAATTGACTTGAGGAGTGGAAGGGATCAGGCTCTGGGCTTCGTGGGCCCCATTCCAAGCCGGACTATACAACTCTAGGTTATTAATCAACCAAGTAGGTTCCTCCTCTCTGACTCTCAATTTCCTGTGTATGAATTGGCGATAAAGCTCCCTCATAGTCTTGTTCTGAAGGTCAAGTGAATGAAAGAGACATGGACATTTTTATCTCGATGATTGGATATAGCATGATTCAATAAATATTTATTTTCTTTCCCCAAATAAACTAGCATCTTTCATTTCAACAGATTAAAAAATAAACCTATTTCATTTTAACTTATTTTTAATCCTCACCCAAGGACATACTTTGATTGATTTTTAGAGAGAGAAACATCAATGTGAGAGAAACCTCCCATATGTGCCCTGGCCAGGAATTGAACTTGCCACCTTTTGGTATATGGGATGATGCTCCAACTAACTGAGCCATCTAGCCAGGTCAAGCCTATTTCATTTTATATATTTTTACATATTCTTATGTTTGCATTATTTATATGTATACAACATGTAGAAAATATGATGAATACTTTCATGCAGTATATACCTAGCATAGCAGACAAAATGAATAGAATCAAACCATATTTCAAATAGGATAATCAGTAATAAACTAATACTTTTTAGTGAAAATAAAAACACATTTTAATTTTCTACAGCTACTTTTGAAACCCATAGTAATCACCATTATGTACTGTCAGCCACTGTTTTGGGACTGGTTATGTTTAAAGAAGCACTTAGCAACCTTCACACCTGGTGGTTGACCAGAAATCTGGCTCCTGGATTTTCCTAAAACATCTTTCCCATTTCTAACTAGACTGTAGTTTCTTTTGCAACTCTGATACATGTTCAGAATGTGTGCAATCTCCTCTGGCCCCTCTACTACTAGTAAGTGGCCGCTGGAGAGTTCTGTTGCTTCTTTGCAAAATCTATGCAAGGCACTTTTATTAGTCACCCGTGATCATCTCTACCTCTTTGTTGGTGATACAGTAGATTAAAAAAGGAAAAAAATTCCTCCCAAATGATACAAAAGCAAAACTCATTTAGTCTCTAGATACATCAAATTCTGTTAAATTGGCATGCAATTAGCTCTGTCAACATAGCAGCAAGCATGAGTGTGGGTGGGAAGTATGTTGTAATGGAAACAGTATAGTTCTAAGAGCTCATCCTAGTCATGTCACTAGGGATTGGTGAATTTAGTTGCTTAAGCCCCAGTTTCCCCATCTCATTGTGCTAAATAAATCATAGATGTAAAATGCCTACTGCAGTGTCTGAAATGTATTAGAAATTCTGTAGATCCTAGATTCCTTCACCATTTTCAACTCCCTCAGTCAATATCGCAACTTCATACTCAGTTTTTAGGGTTTTCCTGGCCTGTCTTTTTCAATCTCACCCATTCTTGTACATGAGTGGTAAGTGATGACAACTTGGCATATCCCTGATCCTAATCCTCATTCAGGACTCCCCACAAACAGCTTCCTCTTGAACAGATGTCTTGGGCCCAAGGATATCCCCCTGTGGGTTGCATATTTTTCTTATAGGTCAGGAAGCATATTTTTTATGCTTTCTTTTTAATTCTAGTTATTCATTGGGTTTTTAACATTTTTCTGCACCACTGTGCTCTTTTCTCTTGAGTCATCTCACAACTCCAGGTGTGAGATGCCAGGAATTTCCACACTAGACTTGGGGAACTGGCCATCTGGTGATATTATGAGATTGCTCTTAATCTCTTCACATCAATGAGAATTCTTTGGAAATACCTTTCTGAGTGTAAATGTACAATAACTCCATTTTTCATAGGGCACAGATGGACTTTATATATTGGCAATGCAGGGTCATTCATCTTTGACCAGATTTAGAATTATGAGAGTCTCAGAGTCTGAGGAAAACCAGTTTGGAATGACTGCATGAATGAAAAAGTGAAACAGTAGAGAAAGGAAGAGGTCTGATAGAATCTGAAAGAAAATACCCAAGAAACATGAGCCTTTGGATCCCTCAAGGAAGGAAGACATCTGAAAGCCCTCGACTGAGAGGTGGAGTCTGTTACTAACGGGTGTCATTTCTAGTTTGAAACAATTTGAATGTGTTTTGGTAAACACGCTGATAGAAATCTCAGGCCCATGTCCTCCTGAGAAGAAAGAACCCTGTAGTCCAAAAACTGACCCATCTGCCTTGTGTAGTAGGAAGTTACTTCTGCAGTCCCCTCTGCACATCAACAGGAGAATTACCTGTCAGGTGTGCTCTTGGCTTTTCTCCACTAGCTCTGGGAGGTGCGTCTGTAAAGAAAGGAGAAAATGCTTTGTATGAGTCAGAGGATGACTGGAGTGAACACAACATTTGGGGAATTGCATGATGCCTGCAACTGGAGAGAAATATTCCTCTTCTCTGGCTTGGTTCAGTTTCCCTCTTTGGAAGTTTTTAAATTTAATTAAGTTTACTTATTTTTTGCAGTAACAGGGGAGACTCAGGAGAAATACATATTCATAAATGAATCCTGGCTTCATGACTTTGGACAATTATCTAACTTATCTCAGATTTTTGTTTTATCACCTCTAAGATGGGCACATTAATTCCTACTATGGATGGAGAGTGTCCAGAATGATTCCTGGCATATGATGGATGCTCAATAAAGCTCACTTTGCCTTTTCTTTCCTCTTCCTGCTTCTGTGGGATCAAATTTCTTTTTTGCCTTTTTCATGGTCCTTTTAACTATATCCCTTTCTGGTCCTCTGTTTCCCTATCACCTCTCCAGAAGACCTCAATTGTTTTGGATTTTGGAACTGATTATATTGGACAAGTTTGTTTTAACTGCAGTGATAATGATAATTTTATTGATGTTAAAAAGGAAAAATCAGTATATCCTTTTGATGTGGTAGGCATTGTTCTACTATCTTTATGAGAATTAACTAATTTAATCTACACAAACCTTGGGGTGGGTACTATCATAACCATTTTTATAGGCCAGTAAAATGAGACAGAAATGGGTGAAATGATTTGCCCAAAGGCCATCAATCCACAGGCCCTGCACTCAGCCATGACATCATTTTGCCTTCTTAGTGATTTGGGAGGCCTCTCGCTTTTCCTCTAGGTTTGCATCCCTCTGAATCCCTAGAACTATTGGATATGTTCTTGTTCCCCACAAGAAAGGCATTGAATATGAATATACTTACAAGCTCGCTGAGGGGAAGGTCCAAATTCCTGTCCTTTTGGAGTCTGTTGGAAAAGAAAGATATGATTCAGACCATCTGTGGTCTTTCTGACCCTAACATCCACACAGCTATGGAAAGCATGGGTGGGATTAAGATGCTGCTGCTACCCCTCCTGAGCATTCTGAGATCAGGGAAATGAAATTGAGAATATTTGATCCATGGGAACCTTGCACCCAAGCTCCCCTCTTTTCTCCTCCAGTACTAAAGACCTTTCTCTGTCTTATGCTTGTCTCAAAGGTCAACTTACGGTAAAAGGTTCTGTCCTGAGAGCTTTTCCTGTTCCATTCTAGGGCACTCCAACATCTTGTCAATGGTTCTATTATTTTAACAAATAATGTCACTTGCTTCATTTTTTTTACACCACAATTTGGAAATTGAAACTATTTTTGAAAAATGATACCAAAAAGAAATAATCACTGTGTTCTCTTTCTCATTAGTCTCTTTATTGTTTCGTTGTTATGCATGATGCCTTTTTCATTAAATTAAAAATATATTTTATTGACTTCAGAGAGGAAGGGAGAAGGAGAGAGAGAAACAGAAGCATCAATGAGAAAGAAACATTGATTGGCTGCCTCCTGAACACACATAAAACACACACACACACACACACACAAACCCCCCCAAAACAAAAATAAAACCCACACAAAAAATCCCCTCAGACACAGACAACATTATGGTGATTATCAGAGGAAAATGGAGGTGTGGGGAAGTAGAAGAGGGTAAAGGGTGGATAAATGGTGACAGTAGGAAACTTGACTTAGGGTGGTGATGTATTATAGAACTGTACTCTTAAAATCTGTCTCATTTTTATTAACCAATGTCATCCCACTAAATTCAATACATTAAACAAAACAAACAAACAAAAAAAGAAAACGTGTGAGTTAGTGCAAAGAAGATAGGGAAGCGGAAGGAACCCCCACTCTTGTGTCAGAATAGAAAGCTCAGGAGCAAAACTAAGCTTTTTGCTTAGGAATAAGATTACCATCTAACATTTTACAATATTCCAAAGAACCCTCTCTGATATGATTTTTGACTCAACTCAGGGCCTTCTGGTTTGGTTTTCGTAGTTGCTCAGTCCCCACCAATAGTAATCCTTATGAATGCTTGATCAGTTTTACATTTTAACACCTTACGTGGGTGTGAGTATACACTTGTGAATGAGAAATTGTGTGTTTGTGTATGAGAGAAGACAGCTCCATTGGTGAAAAAGAGAGTTTTTGCACCCGTGTATTTAAAGTGTCTGTGGTGTGGTGTTCTGTGCATGACTGTTTCTACATGTGTATATGTGTGGCCATGTCGGTGTAGCCATGTAATTTCTGAGTCTAGGCCTGTGAGAAGTTCTGTGATAATGGTGATTCTGTTGGAACCCAGACTGTCAGGCTTTTTTTGCTTCCAAGCCACATGACCTAGCCTCGGTAGGAAGCTCTCTTGAGGACAAAGGTCTTATCTTTGATTGACAAACTGATTTCATGGTCACTCCAGCTCCCTTTTCTCTGCTTCCTAATTCTGTTAATGGTGCCACTACTGCTTTACCTTAATTACCAGGCTTAAAATTGGCTTCTTTCTTCTTCCATGAACCTGAACTGTCATTTCCATTCTGCAGTTTTTCTTTCTTGAGTCCACTTAAAGCCTTAGCATGCTGCTCACCTGGATTCTTCCAAGAGCCTCCTACCAGGTTCTCTCCTGCATCCGTTTTATCCTTTTCCCTAACCCATCTCCTAGCCACATGTGTCAAACACAAGGCCAGCGGGCCAAATCCGTCCCGCCAGGCCTTGCAATGTGGCCCGCACCGCGCTGTCATCACTGCACTCCGCTGCATTTCCATCACAATGACAGTTTATGACTGTTCAGTAAACCATTCGGCCCGCGATTTAGGCTGGATTTTAGATTTTGGCCCCTTCTCTGATTGAGTTCGACACCCCTATCCTGTCTTCAGATGGCTTTTTATACAACATCACATTATCTTGGCATTTAAAGTTCAAATTTACCATCCCAGTCTCAGAGGTGGGGGAATCAGGAGAAATTGCCTTAGACCTGAGTCTTACAGGTCCCGCAGGTATTAGTCTGGTGGTAAGAGGTGATAACCATTCCAGACCAGGCCAACGGCTGTGCAAGAGTAAGGAGGCCCAACAGCGCATGGGAGCAGTTGGGAAACTGCAGGATTTCTACTGCCAGATGAACACATTAGATACATTTGCTTAGGGCATGAGTACAGTGTTCTTTGAAAACCTAAGCCCAATTGATGTGACTACTTGTCCAGCATCAGTAACTTTGATGGGATTGGGAGGTGGAGAAGCAGCCTAGAAATGAGCTTATTTTGTAGCCTGTTTCCTTCGTTGCTATTGACAGAGCTGATAAAGAATCAGTTCTTTGGCCAGGCAGAACACTGAAGGTGGGGTTCTCAAAGAGAACGAGGGAGACTTTGTAGCATCACCTTGTACATGGAATGGTACTTTCCCTGACTGGCCTTCTCTGACTCCTTCATTCTGCTAAGAAGTCTTCTCTGACATCTGCTTATTTTTGACTAAGCAGATTCTCAGCTAAGAGTTTGGAGCATTCCTTTTGGCTCATAGAACCCTTGTTGTTAACATGTATTTGGGATATGAGCACATTTTTCTATTTGCTCTGCGGAATTTCTATAATTTGGGAACACATTTTATTTTCATACATGGATGGATGTGTGTGCATTTTAGTGGCCTCAGAATGCCACTACATGTCTGGAGGTGAAGAACACAACATCCCCAGAGTCCCCAAAAAGAACACAACTGGGATTCTTTTCCCATGAACAGCACAAAAGCCTCCTATTGCTGTTTCTCTTAGTAATGACTCTATCATGAGAGGAAGATTATTGCATCAGAAGCAAATGAAGAGGAGATTTGAGAAGAAGAAATAGTAGTTTATTTGGGGAAAGTTTTGTGCCTTTAAGTTGGTTGGTTCAATGCCTGCTCTCCAGATGGTTGCTGGCAACACCAGGCCAATAAAATGTCTATTGTTGTCCAAAACTGACTCATCTCCATTGCTTCTGGGTTCCCCTGGGGAACCCAGGAGATGGTGACTCCCGAAGGTCAGTGCATCATTGACTTCCAAATCTAGACACAGTATTCAAGAACACCCAAGGAGAATGTGATTTATTTCCCCTTAAATGTAGTCTCAAACCACTTTCTAGGAACCAGGATCCCATCTTAGTTCCCTTCCTGAACATATATCATTCTCTAAGGATATTACTTATTTGACTATTTATTGCTTTTTTCTCTCCAGTAGAAGTCAAGTTGCATGCAGACAAGGACTTGGTCTGTCTGTCTTTCTTACATGGTCTTATATTCCTGGTGCCTCGGACAGTGCCTGGCACTCTCACTGGATTATCCATGTTGGAAAAATCTGCTGGTGCTCGGGTATCAAAAAGACAAGCAGAAAAGAGAGCAAAGGATGGAGGAAGGCTCAGCTTCAGTGACTTTAGCCAAAAAAGAAAAAAAAAATAGGAAAGGGAACTTTTTATTTTAGAACACATGCTACTTTTTAGGTTTTTGTTTAAATTTAAAAACTTTAATTATGTAGTGGTAGGTGACCAGAATCTTTTAGGAATGGGGCCTCTATGTGCTTTCATCAGTCTCTGCTTGGAGAATAGCCATGGCTCTAGAAATGTTTGTTGAAAGTTGGGAAATTTGGTCAGAGTCAGAGCCAGGAGAGGCTGGTATGTCACGTGTGTATGCACATGTTAGTGAGGTAGGGGAAGCCTGCCACCACCGCAAAACATGCGGGGCTTTTCACCCCATAATCTCCATAGGTCAGAGAATTTTCACTCTCATTTGGTTTTCTTTCTTTGTCTCTGCTAAAAAGAAATGCTTGTTTTGGTATGTTGATTGGTAATCTCTGACTCAAACTAATTATGATCTATTACGATGGCATTTTTGGGATTACTCTGATCCTTCAAATAAGAGAGAAGGAAGATGGAGGAAAGGAGGAGACTGATATCTAGCAGAGTGCTTAATGGGTGCCAGGCCCCTTGTTAGGCATTTATGTTTGTTCCTCATCTCATACTCCAGCTGTTCTCAAAGGAATATGTCACCTTAAATTTTTTTTTTTTTATTGATTTCAGAGAGAGGAAGGGAGGAGAGAGATAGAGACACCAGTGATGAAAGAGAATCATCAATCAGCTGCCCCCTGCATGCCCCATATTGGGGATGGAATCTGAAATCTGGCCATATGCTCTGACCGGGAATTGAACCTGGACCTCCTTGTTCATTGGTCAATGCTCAACCAATGTGCAACATCAGCCGGGCTGAGTCACCTTTTTATAGTCTTTGAAGCCAAAGGTCAAAGAATAAATGAAGGGTCTGGGTTCTGGACCTTTAGACCAAGTACAGACCCTGGCACCTATCAGGAGCCCCATAAACCTTAGATGAGCACATACAATGGGAGATCAAACCTGAAGCAAGATGGCCTTTAAGATGGTCTTCTTGGCATTCCCCCCCCAAAAAATCCCTTGAGAATATTTTAACTAATGACCTCTTTGGCCTTTCTCCCATGTTTTGCAGTCACTGTATAGTAAACTCAAAAACGGAGGAGGTATCCATTGCTTGCCCTCATATATACTGCAACTGGAAAGGTTTAAGTGTTTTATGACATAATATCCTACCAGCATTTCTAGGAGAAATACTAGTACACAGATGTTTGCCTCCTTGTCCCTCTCTCTTGCTTCTCCCTATACCTGCACAAGGATAAATCCAACCTAGAAACATTTTATTCCACAGCCATTTCATTTCATCATCTCTAAGGTGTGCTGGGCTGTGCTTTAATTTTCAGGCAACATTCAGAGCAGTGCAGAGCAAAGAATATGGTGTTTGCAACAGAGCAAATGTGGAAATCCCAGGTCTCTTATTTCCTGGTGGTCTAACTTTAGCATCTCACCTAATCTCTGTTTCCTCGTCTGACAGAGCAGACAATGGTTCTCCCTTCCCAGGACTGTGGTGATGGCTAAGAAAGACCACACATGGAAAGTGGATA